GCAGAATACTACTATACAAATGATCTTACACTCTGGAGAAAGTTTATACTATAATTACAATTTTCGAAAATTATAAACTCTCTCCAGAGTTTATACTGTAATTACAATTCTCTACTAATACTAATTCACTTTTAAAAGCAAACTATAGAATTAACATACCTAACCAATTTAGGAAACAAGCAGCTGATAGAAAAGAGCTTCAAAATGTTGCAAAGAAATGCAAATTGTAAGCTGGATATTTTAAGTTAAAAAGTTATTTTGATCTTCTTTTATAATAATTAGTTTGATTAGTTTGATAATAACTAGGTATAGATATTAACTAGATATAGATACTATATATACGTTAAATTTTTTTATGACTTTTATGACTATACTTTTGTTATTACTTGTTTTTTATTGTAATGTTTACGCGAGTTTTTTTAAATTTGGTATGGTTTAAGATCTGAAAGTTTATTATTAATTACTTACGTTTCAAGTGATTTTTATTATTGACAGTTTTCAAAATGTAACCAATAAAACATTAACAGAAGAAGAAGAAAAAGAGGAAGTCATTAAAAACGATAATAATGTTAACAAAAGCTTATCATGCGAAGTAGACCAATCAAATTTAAAAGAATGTGATTTTAAAGAAGAAGAAAAACGATATGATATAGACGAACTCTTGCGCGGAAATAAAGAATTATCACCCCATAAAGTATACAAAATGTTTATGAATAACTTAAAACAGAAGACACATTTTCAGTTTCCTAAAACATTAAAACATGGTTGCAAACGCGATTGTAAAGAAGAATATTTACAAAATGGATTTGTCTACAGCAAAAGTGAAGACGCAGCCTACTATATACTGCATTTTATTTCGAAAACAGGATAAAAAAAATGTAAGGAATGGTACAATGTTTTAGAGAAATGAAAACTATATATAGGCAATAGATACCATAAAGAAGCTATCAAACAAGCTAAAGGTATTTGTTGTCGTTTTGAAGATCCAAGACAAACCATTCCATTACAAAGCGAAAGCACTTTAAAAAACAGACAACAAATGTAGCCGTATATTGTTGAAACATTAGGTAGAATAGTACAATTGATGGGTAAACAAGGAGTTGCATTTCGTGGAACTTATGAAACTTCACTGAACTTAATGCACATATACAAACACCATTACGCAAAGATGTCAGCTACCTTGGCCTCAAGAATCAAAATGAATTAATTGATATAATTTGAAAGAAATGTACACAAGAGCGGCTAATTAATGAAATTAATTAATTTTTCTTTTAAATTATATCAATTAATTCAAAGTTGCAAACTACCATTCAATTTCAGCAGACGAGATAACAACTGCAAACCAAAAAGTTTTATCAGTATATATATGTAAACGGAGAAAAGGAAATTATAGAAGTATTTCTTGACTTTCTGAATTTTGACAGGATAACAGGCAAACATATTGGGGAAAGCTTGATGAAATTTTATAGCGATAGTAGAATTGATCTTAGTTTTTGTAGAGGCCAGTGTTACGATGGCGCACCAAACATGCAATCTGTAAAAAAAGGTGTTGCCAGCTATCAGTGTCGCACAACTGATATTGTGTATGCATACAGTAACATTCAAGAAACAATCGATAATTTGAACCATCTATGGAAAAATGTTGAAAAAGAAGATTACGCAATTTATCAACAAGTTACTCGTATGACAAGTAAATTATTTGTAAAACCAACAGTTTCCAGAATCACTTTGAGACAAGACTACAGAAATAACGTAGGGGAGAGTCTGGTAGCCCCGAACACTTCAGGAAAATATAGATTGTACACATGTGCAAAAGACTTTTTTAAAAGTTCAAACATTTATCTATCGAATTAGAAACAAAAAAATAATTATTGTGTATCTTAGCAATATACAAAACATAAAAAAAAAATGTTAGAAAAACGGCATGTTTCAAAATTGGAGGGTAGCCCGGGACACATAGTTTAAACATGATTTTACCTCTTTTTTTATCAGTGTGACACAAATGTAATATATAATAATTTAGCATTGGACTGTTCTCGACACATTTTAAAAATAATTGCCTTTAAAAATTGCTTCTGATATATAAAGAATGAGAATGAAAATGTCATCATTTAAAAATATAAACATACGCTTTTTTATAATGAAAATAAACACTTTAAAAACACTTTTTTCAAATCTAATGTTTTTTTATTGGAATTAAATGAATTACTATTATAGGTTTGTGTATTATATTAAATGTATTAATATTTATATAAAAAAGTTGTTTATTATTAATATGTAAACGAATTAAGTTGTCCAGAGCCACCCTCTAAACATGTGTCCGATACCACCCGATCATACCTCATTCACAAATACTAGTTTTAAAACCAGTGAATTAAAGTTTTAAACGAATTTTTTTTTTAAAAAACTATTGTAAATAAAAATGTGTCTTTAATCATTAAAAAATTATTAGTTTACATAAAAATTAGGTATATTAATATGTAAATCAAATATGATGATACGCCGCTCTTCTGGTGGTGGGAAACAAAATCTTGCTCTCCCAGTCATTCGCTTCGGCATATTATGATAGATATTTTACATATGCCATATTTTCAATTAAATAATGTTATTATAGTTTTAAAAGTCACATAGCTTCTTTAGTTTAAGTTATACATCAATTGTCTGGAGTTACCCGCCGTCCGGGGCTACCCGACTTTCTCCTACCTGCTGAGAGTCCTCATGAATATTATAAACGGGTCTTGATAATACCTTTTCTTGACACCATCATTTCAGAAATCAAAATACGGTTCCAAAAGAGAAATTGCATTGCTGCTAAGGTTTTGTGCTTGGTTCCCTCGATAATTTGCAGTGAGGAGATAACTGCTTTCCAGGAGTTAGTTGAAATGTAAAAAAATGATCTTCCAAAATCAGAAGCTGTAGATCAAGAATTCATGTTTTGGAAAAGAAAATGGTCTGTTTTTAAACCTGAAAATAGGCCTAATACTCTACCTAAAGCCATTAAAATCTGCGATGAAAATCAATATCCTAATCTCTTTGAGCTTCTTAAGATCGGATGTACACTACCCGTAACGTCTGCCGAATGTGAACGCAGCTTTTCAGCAATCCGAAGACTAAGAACATGGTTGAGAGCCAGTATGACTGCAGATAAACTTGGTTCGTTAGCCATCATGAATATCCTCTATAATGAAATTTTTGATTATAAACAAGTCTCAAAACTATTTTTTACTTTACATCCTAGAAAATTGTATGAAAAAATTAAGTTTTTAAATAAAAATTTAAACCATTTATCAAAGTATTATCAATTTTTGTATCGATACCCATTTTCTAATAAGGAGCTTGCTTATACGCCTATGTAGTATAAAAATAGAAAAAATATTCGGAGAACAATAAGTTCGTTTATGTAAACGTTGTTTACACAAATATAGCTATGGGGTTGTCCATTAGTTACGTCAACAAAATAGGGGGAAGGGGGGGTCTGAACATTTTTTGACAGTTGTTGACACGGGGGAGGGGAGGAGGTTTACATCAAAGTTGATGTAAACAATTTTTTTTTTGAGTTTCATCGCTTAAATAACGAAAAATTTGTAGTGTAGCTTCTTTGTATAAGGGAGGGGGTAATTAAAAATTGACGTAATTTTATAGGGAGGAGGTCTCTGGAAGTTTGACAAACTGTTGACAAAGGGGAGGGGGAGATATAAAATTCAAAAAATTTGATGACGTAATTAGTGGACAGCCCCTATACACATATATAGCTAATTTTCACGAAAATTTTATTAAATAAATTTAGTAAGATATTTGTTTGGTGTTTTAAAACTGCCTTTTTCTTTTCAAAAACGATCCCCTAAAAAATTTCGCGGTACGGCCCTGACATAATAATACAATATGATATCTAATTTTAATAATCTTAAAATAAAATGAAACGAAATGGCCTCCTCAGTGCAACTAACAGTAAAAAGTTTGAAATGATAAACAAAAATAATTTGGCTTTTAAATGCGACGAGCTCACAACATTTTTTTAAAACATTTTTTTAAACAAATGTTTAAAAAATTTTTTCCAACAAGTTTTTTAAACTTACGCGCGTTAAGTAATACATTAGGTATTAACAATAGGAGCCTTTGAATTCCATAAAGTTCCATAAAATTCCATAAAATTCCATAAAATAAATTAGTTTTGAAACTTTTATAACACAGCGGTTCTCAGAACATAAATTTATATTAAAAATAAATCTGTACTAATTTTATTTTATCTCAGGCGGGGGCTCCGGCCACCATAGTGCCCACGGCATTTTGTCAATCTTGCCACCCCATAGTTGCCTGTCTATAGACTACAAAGTTACAGTAATATTTGTTTATTAGTTTCATTTGAAGAAACCATTTCTTTATTGCATTTTAAGAAACCTCAATAATTAAAACTTTAAAATAATAACCACAATAATTAAAAAGTTTAACATAAAATTTGGCTGCGAAAATACAGTTTGTGTATTTTCGCAGCCAAATTTTATTTATATTTACTAATTAAAATGGGTAGTAAATATAAATAAAATTTAAAATTTTTATTTATATTTACTACCCATAAAAATATATATAAGTAAATAAAAATAAATAAAACCCATAAAAATATATATAAGTAAATATATAATATCTTATAATGACATAAACAATTTAATGGGGAGTAATTTTAACATAACAACTTAAATTGGGTTTTGGTTACGCTCCAATATCATTAATACAATTCTCAATCAAATTTAATAGAAAAGTTTTACTTTAGAATAAATACGAGAATAGAGTTTCAATTTCGTAACTTTTTATAAATCCAAGCTTAAAATAATCAAGATAATGTAAATATTTACTTACTCTTAAGTTAGATAAATAAATGTTTAATAAGTAGGCGCAACAAACACAATTGAATTTAAAACATTTTATCAATAATTAGATAAGTGAAAGTTCAACGGTTGTAAGGTTTTAATTATTTAAACAGACTTTTATGAATGAGCGAGTTTATAAATGGAATGCGTTCTTTAGAAACGATTAAAAAAAGTAATTTGCAGTTAACGTGTTTACAAAAAAAAACAGTTGTGCGCAAATATTGTAGATTTTAATTTTACAGTAAGAGAATTAACACGCCTTTATAAAAAAACGTTTTTTTTAAAAAAAAAAAAATACTTATATTGTTATTGAAGTCTTGATTACTTGTATGGCGACGTTTTCTTTATTATAAATATCAGCATATATTGATAAAAACTTGAGTAGTTTTTATGTTGAAAGAAAACACCGAAACGCTTTGTCCAGCATGTAACGATGTATTTAAAAGTCCCAAGCTATTGCAATGTATGCACACTCTGTGCGAAAATTGTATTGTTTCTTTGGCTCTAGAAAATATCATTTGCTGTCCGTTATGCAGTCACCAGACAGTAGCAAGTTTATAATATTTTTTTATTTTATTTTTTTTAATTATTAAAATCGTTTGTTGCGCTCTCGAGTGAAAACTTGCTCTCTTAGTGGAGACTTTTTAAACATAAAGAGTATTTATTGGCTTCAGTACATACATCGACTATTTTAAAGCCTGCTGCTACAAGGAAACTGCGCTACATCGACTGAGGCAAAGTTTGGCTGTTTGGCAAAGGACAGCAATCTTTTTTCTTTTATTATATCGATTAATATTCATGATGTTTAAAAAGCCTTCACTGACGAAAGCGCAACACGCAAAAAAATAATATTATTCAAGGCCGCTGAACTGTAGGATTACCAGAGCTTATTTATATAATTTGCTTTTAACAAACTTAATTAGTATCAATTTTTTTAATTGCTACTATTTTATTATTAAATTACAAATTTTGTAAATTGCAATCATTTAAATTTTTAAATATTTTTTCTTTGTAGCTAAAAAAAAATGGTATTTCGGAACTGGTTCCCAACATTATAATAGCGACTGAGTCTACTCAAGTTATGAATCAAGAGTTAGCTGTAACTTCTATTTGTACTCAATGTGACAATTTAGCATTATGTTTTTGTTGTGAATGTTCTACAAAAATGTGCGAATCCTGCGCAATTATCCACAATAAAAGCGATGGCGTACTTAAGCACCAAATATGTAATATTGAGAGAGCTTCACTTACGCAAATACTAGAAGAAAGGCAGGAAATGTGTTCTGAGCATAATGAATTAATGGTATTATTCTGCAACGAGTGTGACCGCTTTATATGCCAAAATTGCAAGCTAAGCCAAAAACACAGCGAACATACTTTTAGTTTTGTTGACGAGATGGTTTTTGAACGAAAGGAAAAATTAAAACATTTAGTTGAAGAAGCTAAAAAAAAGAAAAAAACTATTGAATCAATTACAGTTGATGCTGAAACAGCTTTAGAGCTTATTAAGTTAACCAATCAAAAAAATATTGCTTACGTAGAGGAGAATTTTCAACTTATCTATGAAACATTGAATACCCAACGCTTGAACATAATTAAAATAATTAATGATAAATACACTGAAAGTGTTAACTCGATCAACCAAGCAAAAGAACATAACAAAATTTTATCACACTGCATAAACTTTACAAATGATGTTATTGAAAGCAATTATAAAACCGAAGTGATAGATATTTTTGAAAACCTTAAAAAGCAACTTCAAGATATATCTTCTCTAACTCTAAAATTAAAAAGAACTTCACCGAGTCAATCATCGTGTCAATCATCGTGTCAACCACCGGGTCAATCATCGCGTATACAAGATCTTAGAAATGATCTCGAAAAAGCAGAAAACAAAGAACAAAAAGAAATCAAAAAGAAATCTGAAAAAGAAAAAGAAAATAGAAGCAGTTACCATGGTATTCAAATAGAACCCTCCGAAAAAACCCGCCATCGTCTTTTGTCAGCACCCGCTATAAGCTTTTCAAAAAAAAAGGACAAAGAACAAAAAAATATCGGAGAAAATTCAGCGCGTATATCAAAAAAAAAAAATCGGATATCTTTGTTAAAGTCGTTTGGTTCTAGTAAAAACAAGAACGATTCAGAGATCTCAGATGCTAAGAAAATGATAGAAGAAAAGAATTCCATCAATTTTGAAAAAACACCTCCACCACGCCCACCTCCGGCAAAGAGTTCTCTATTTTTTAAACATTCTAGTGAAACTCCTCCGCCTAGACCAACAAATCCACCACACAAAGCTGTATCTTGTTCCAAACCACCTGCCAAACCCCCTGCACCGAAATGTTTGACATTAACGGAAATAAATAACGAAAAATACAAAAATAGTCAACATAAAGTTTTAACTTTGTCGCCGTCGCCGTCTCACTCCGAAAATAGTCAAATTGAAAACATAGTTTTAGTGGAGACACCAATAATTAAGTCAAATGACGACAGTCAAAACAAAAATTTGGGTTCTCCTGTCAAACACGAGCAATTCAATTTTGATCAAAAGTCAATTGAAATGGTTGAAGGTCATGCTCCGGACAATAATAAAATTGTAATAAAAGACACTAAATCGAATGACTGCTGTCACTTAGATGAAAATATAGAAAGTTTGTATGCAAAAGTTAACAAAAGAAGGCAATCCAACGAAGAGCAAAAAACACATTTAAGTATTGAGAACGAAAACAAAGAAAACGATTTTAGTTCAAATACTATGGATAATCCGACTGAAATTGTAAATTATTTTACAAACAACAGTGAAATCGTGTTAAACCACGAGCAGGCGAAATTAGATGACTGCTTTTTAAGTGAAAGCAACGAAAACAGTTTATATGCAAAAATTAATGAAGTCAGCGATTCCATTGAAAAACAGAGTATACATTTGGATGGAAAACGGATTGAAACAGAAAATAATTATTCAAATGTCAAAGAGACTTGTAAAAACGCTCCGGTAGCTTTTGATAAACCCGCACCCTCTAACAAATTTCCCCCTGAAAAGCCACAACGTCCGCGCTACGTGGCAGGAATTGAACTAAAGCAAGTTGAATTGGTGCTTAATGATAAGGTATTAAATTCCGTAATAAAATATTTGAACCAAGCATGCGCTGTTATTATGCAAAACCAAGCATCGGAAAACACTTTACATATTTTTAGCCTAAAAGATGATGTAATATGCATGTAAATCAAAATAGCGTTCAGATTTTTTCTTAGATTTTTATTGTGGTAAAAACAGTTTTTTATTAGCCAAACATGTCAACATATTTTATCATGAATTAACTTTTATTTTAAGAATTTTATTTGATGTGTTTGCTGCATTATTTTTACGCTCATAAAAAAAGTTCAACATTTTTTCAGTAAATGTTCAACATTTTTTCAGTAAATTTTCAGTAAACCCATAAACTTAATTTGATATCAAACATAACCATTCCAGTTGAGTGTATTATGTCTAAATAATGTCTAAAAGCGGTGTTTATATATAAAGCCCATTCCTCAGTTGGGCGCATCGATAAAAATGTTAAATCAAATTACTTAAATAATATCTTTTTAGAGATTTTATTTTAGATTTTTGTTATGATTTTATAATGTTATATCAAAAGAAAAAATGTTGTTGAGTTTTAGAGAAATAGTATAAAACTCGATGATATAAAAATTTAAAAAAAAAAGCTGTTTTAAAAACAACTTCAACAAAACTAGTTTACTTATTCTTTATAAGAATTTTAAATTGTGATTTCAAAATGTAGCCAAAACTAAAACTTACAGAAGTTTTGCATATTAAAACATAGGCTTGTATATTAAAAATATAAAAGCTTCTGAACTGCATAATAAAATTTTTATATAAATTTTTTATTAATAGAAAGATTTTGGTTTTTGAAGAAGTTACTAACTTAATAGTGTCTTAAAAAAGTCAAATGGAGGAAAACGTTGTATTAGGATAATATTTCTAAAGGAAAAGTTTTTAAATTGAAAAGTAATGAAGATTCAGGGAAAATCAAAGTAGAGCTCTCCAATCTTGCAAATTCTTATATTTATAATTATTATCCTTCTTTGGAAACTCTGAAAAAACTTTCTAGTAATCCGGATAATGTTATTTTAAAACCTGATAAAGGTAACGACGCCGTCATATTAGATAAAGAACTATACGTAAGTGGTATTTATAAAATTATTATTGATAAAACAAAATCCAAACAATTTGAGAAAGATAAATACAAACAATTTAAGAAAAATAAATAGAAAAATACAACTTCAAAATTTTTTAAGGAAACTAAAAGCAAATGATCTTTTTAGTGATTTTGGATATAACAAAATTTATCCGTCAAGATCCCATCCTGCTTGTATCTATGGACTTCCAAAGATACATAAATTAAATTCTTCTGAATTACCACAAACTTTAGACCCATTTTATTATCTTATGGAACCTATAACTATTAACTAGCCAAATTTCTTAGAGATCTCCATTAATAAACACTGATCGACTTGACAAAAGATTCATTTTGTCAAGTCGATCTCCACAAATATTTTTTAGTATCATACGATATAACCAACTTATACACCAATGTTTCGGTTCAAGAAACCATTGAAATTGCAGTCAATTTAATTTTTCTCCTTAACAAAAACATTAAAACTACTAAAACTGATTTAAAAAAAAACTATTCCAATTCGCCACTTCGCAAATACATTTTCTTTTTAAAGGACAAACTTATGACCAAATTGATGATGTAGCAATGGGTTTTCCACTCGTACCTGTTCTTGTCAATTTGTTCATGGGTCACTTTGAAAATAAATGGATCAAAAATTTTAATGATATAAAACCAGTTTTCTATAAAAGATACGTTGATGACATTTGTGCTGCTTTCCAGTCAGAAAATGACGCACATCTTTTTCTTAGATATATAAATAGTAGACATAATTCTATTTCTTTAACTATGGAACAAGAAGTAAATTCAAAAATATCTTTTTTTGACGTAACTCTAAGCAAAACTAGTTCTTCAGTTAACAGTACTGTTTTTCATAAAAAAAAACCTATTCTGGTCTTCACATTATTTTTTATAGTTTCACTCCATTCTCGTACAGAGTTAGTCTAATAAAATGCTTAATCGATAGAACGTTTAAAATCAATAGTACTAAACTTAGGTTTCACTCTGACATAAACGACCTCTTTAAAGTATTTCAAAGAAGCATGTACTCATCTTGGCTCATTTCAAAAATATGTAACTCCTATTTAAACAAGATTAATTTAAATCCTCCACCACAATCAAAAATCAAAGACTCTTTGTCTTATTTTAAACTGCCATTTTTGGAAAAAAAAATCTGATTCAACTAAAAAAGACTGAATTCAATTGCTAAAAGATATTGCAGTTCAGCAAATATTAAATTAGTATTTACCTCACTGAAAATATTTAAGTTTTTTTCTTGTAAAGATCCTATTCCTCAAGAGTTCAAATCGCTCGTGGTGAATAAATTCGTATGTGCAAGATGTAACTCCTCTTATATAGGCAAAACTAGTCGCTATCTCAAGACCCAGATATCTGAACACTACAAGAGGGACGAAAAAGTGTCACATCTATATAAATGACAAGTGTTTTTCTGAGTTAGATTCGGCATCTAACAAATTTGAGATTTTTAAAGAAAGTATGTTTATAGAATGGTTAAAGCCTGGTATGAATAAAAAATTTAACCATGTACAAATAACAATTTCTGTTTAGCTGCTATTTTTTATACATATTGCGTATCTTTTTGACCCTATTTTTTTGTTATTTCCTATTTCTTTTGTATGACATGATAAATTTTTTATTGTATTTTTGTAATTATATTATTATTGCTTTGTACATGAATAATTATATTTTTTATTGTTTTTTTTTTATAGGTATTTTAACAAATTTTAAATATTTAATTTTAACTGAAGATGACTAGTGTTCGTCGAAACATGTATTGTGTTTTATTAAAAAAATGGAAAAATGGTTTTAAAAATTAGAAAATTTTTCTTATTTATGAATATATATATATATATATATATATATATATATATATATATATATATATATATATATATATATATATATATATATATATATATGATATATATATATATATATATATATATATATATATATATATATATATATATATATATATATATATGTATATATATATATATATATATATATATATACTATATATATATATATATATATATATATATATATATATATATATATATATATATATATATATATATATATATATATATATATATATATATATATATATATATATATATATATACATATATACACTTGTGTATAATTGTAATAAATGTTTTCTGGAAAAAGCAACAAGCAAAATTTTGCCCGAAAAAGAAAGAGGAAGCCTCTTGTAAACAAATATTCAAGAATAAGTCTTTCAAACATTTCACCAGAAAAAAGTTACGTCTAGCACAAGATTAAAGAGGCTAATTATAGATCAAACTAATCTCAAAACCAATAGTGAAGTAATAAGATAATTACTTTTTATTCATTATTTTCTCTGTAATGAAGAGTGCATTTCAACCTTTGTTAGCGTGCGTGATTCTCGTTAAAGATGGCCACTTAAATTAAAGCTTTGTACCTGCCAGTTATCTAACCTTCTTTAATATCATTAGTTCATCTTAATTTGTGAAATTTGTAGTATTATTTTAACTCTGGAAAAATTCATGAGTATCACAGAAAGTAGTCTCTTTAAAATTTTAAATCTACACAAAAACGAAATTATCCAAAGCATCTAAAAAGAGACTCAAAGATTGAACAACTCAATTAAAAGATACTCAAAAACACCCTCATCATTACTTATGGTATAAAACACCCTCAGCATTACTTATAATATAAAACACCCTCCGCATTACTTATGATATGACAGTAAACAATGGAAAAGAAATTCTTTCCTTAAAAAATCAACTTATCTCATATCAAAAAGAATATCTTCCTTTAAAAAAAATGGCTGAGAACATTAAATTAATTCAGGAAATTATTGAGCTTAAAATTGATAATCAAACTAATCGAAATATGATAAATACTCTTTTATTTCGAGGTATTAAAGATAAAAATAATAAAAACTGGTCAACTGCAAAAAATAAACTTACAGCAGTCTTCGTTGATCACGCTAAAATACATCTGGATAAAGCAACTAGAAAAGTTAAGCGAGCTCATAGAGGAAAAAAAACAACAACAATTCTCCCGCTCACATTTATGCGAAGTTCTATCACTGGAAAGATGCCCAACATGTTATTCATATTTTCAAAAATCTACATAATTCTAAGTTTATGGGTATAAGTATTAATGTTATTCAAATGTACTGTTTCTTATTGACTGCTCAACGTAACGAGGCTCTGTTGGCTCGAAAACAACTCAAAGCAAACAACGAAATAACATCTAGTTTTATTGCTTATCCTGCTACACTTATGGTTAAAAAAAAACGAGAAAACCTCGAATATGTTGAATATAGATTCTTCTAAATATTATTTGAATTTTTATTTTATTTACTTTTTTCACTATTTCATCATTTAAAGGTACACTTTTACTATAATACTGACCTTAAATCGTCCCTGTAGACAAACACGTGCTATATTTATTTCTTTAATTTGTCAAGGAATACTTATACTTCCTAGAAAAAGTTTAACTTCATATATCTATATATATATATATATATATATATATATATATATATATATATATATATATATATATATATATATATATATATATATATATATATATATATATATATACATATATATATATATATATATATATATATATACATATATATATATATATATATATATATATATATATATATATATATATATATATATATATATATATATATATATATATATATATATATATATATATATATATATACTTCTTATATTTTATACACACGCACATATATACATATATTAATAAATCTATATATAATTCATTTTATTTACTATATTGATTTTACTGGCATGTTACTTTTAAATCATCATAATAACCATGTCAGATAACTTATGCGTTATCTGCAAGTTTATTGTCCCTAAAATTCAAAAAGCAATATTCTGAAATAATTGCCTATGATGGGTTAACCTAAAATGCAATAATCTAAACGACATAGATTATCAATTACTATAAAACGCATCAAAAAACGATTGATTGTTCTGTGAAAATTGTCTATGCTTAATATTTACGCTTAATACTGCTTTCAATAATTTAAGCGGTACTAAGGTATCCAAATCTAAATTATTTGATATAAAATTAAACAACCTCCAATCGAGTCTTGATGACCTAAA